AGTTCTTTATATAAAGAATACAAAATGGCTAATCTTAAAGCTAACCTATAAAAATTGCAAGCTTAAAAAAAATGTAATCTTGTTGAACTTAATCATATTGAATTAAATGATGATGAATAAATTAATTATTATTTAACAGAACTATGTAAATAACATCCTGAAGTAGATATTGGTAAACTATTAAATGTGGATGTTGAAAAAGTTACATTGACTCAACATTAAGACAAACTAAATGAATTAATAGAAAAGAGAATAAATTAAGAAGAATTAGATTAAATAATAAGTAAGGATGAAACAAATAATTTGGTCAAAATTTATAAGGAATCTAGATATGATCAATTTGAACCAGAATATAGTAAAAAGAATAAATTAAAAATGATTACATTTAAAAAATAAAAAGAAATCTAAGATAAACTATTTGCCTAAATCTTTGAGGATGAAGTTTAAAATAAAAAATAAAAAGAAGATCTAAGTAAATTTTTCAGAACCCCACCAACTTAATAAATATAAAATAAAATTAAAAGTAGATTTAAATATGGAATTAATTCTAAACCTTTGTCTCATAGATAATCTCCTGTAATAAGCTAATTTGAATCCAGACCCTAAACTGCCTTAGGTTCATATACACAATCTTAGACATTCTTGACAACAAAATAAAAATGGGATGGAAGAGGAGTAGATCCAGATACTTAACAATAAATGCAAGATATTATTGGATCTTGTGTTGAATTAGAAGATAAATAAAAAAAAGAAAAAAAATAATTTAAAAGAAAAATAAGAAAAATGAATTAAGAAATACAAAGATCAGTGAGAACTGTATCAGAACAATTTTTAAATTAAGAATAATAAACCATTTAACATTAAGAATTTTAAAAATTTTAAAGTGAAACTTAATTCAAAAGAAAACTTATTGGTTTTCTATTGAACTAAGTTACTGATAAAAATGAAATTTTGAGTTAAAAAGCACGAAAAGAGTCAACAAATAAATTTATTCATAAAGTCTAAAAGTTTACATGCGAATTATGAAATATAAATATTTTCCTAGTGAATATCTTAACAATTATATAAAAAAAATATATATTTTAAAAAGACATAACTAAATTAATGATATAATAAAAATTATCAAAATTTTTTTTTCTTATTAAACTAATTTCCATAAAAAATATTTGCTTGTCATAAATGTTAATAAATTTAAATCTATATAAAATTGGTTAGGGTATTTTAAAGCAAGAGAATATCTTACTCAAATGAATAAGAAGATCATTAATATACTTTATACAAATGATATCACTTTCTGAAGGACAACTTGTAAAATTTAATAGATAATTTATATATACTCATATTGATCTTTGTATTTATTGATATCAACTTGATGTTTAATTATTAAAATCTTAATATTTAAATAATTGAATAATTCTAATAAAATATAATCAGTTAATTTTTCAAATTAATTAGATACCATTTTATTTCAAAAATTAATAAATGCTATAATTTTCATAATATTCTAAATCATATTATTTTTATTGTTTTATTTCTATCAAATTGAACATAAAAATGAAGAAATGATATAGTATCCAATGAATCAATAATTCTTTTAAGTCTTTTGTTAATATTCATAAAATTAATAAACTATTAATATTTCTTAATTAATTTAATGAAAAAGTGGCTGCAGAAAAAATTGAATTAAAACCTTTCAGATGATTAAAATAAACATAGACTAACTAGAAAAGAAAGGTATATGAGAAAATATTTGAATTCAGAAAAATGTTATAATTATTGGGAGATTATGACATCCAATAATTTAATTTAAGTAAATCTAAATAGAGATTCATAAGGATTTAGTAAATAAATTTCAGAAATCTTTAAAAGTCCTGAATAAATCTTTGATGTTGAATTGCAATAGAAATTAATGGAATTATATGCTCTCTAAGAGGAATAAACTGCAGTATTAGCAATATTTGCAGTTGGATTTCATCATAAAAGAGGGTCAGAAATAGAATACTGTTATCCAGAATTATCATAATTGACAAATGATTTAGAAAATATTATCAATACAGTGACGACATGTGCATTACCAGATGCGGTTCATAATGCTAATGAAGACTATTTATATTTTAATTTTGACGCATAAATAAATGGTAAGATGAAATAATTGTTTGGTGTAACATGCTTTAAATAGATTAAAGTGACAGAAGAGTTGAAAAAATAAAACCCAGAATTAACTAGAGGACATATCTAAAAGGCTATTTGTTTATTATCCTTCGTACCACTCTTTGGATATATCAAGAGCAGGTTGGAGCCTACAATATAAGCATATTTTCAATTATAAGATTTTAAAGATATGTCAATCTTAAATTATGCATTTGACAGCATTTAATAAACCTTTGATTTAAAGAATGTTGAAATCTCAGCTTTATATACTGATACTAATTTGATTGGATTATTTTGGATTTTCAAAGATAAAATACTTAAAATTCTTAAGGCAGTTTAATATTAGATGAAAATAATTATATACTCTTAGTCTTCTAGTGTATGTTCAAGATTTATAATAAGTTTATTATCTCTGATTCCTGGTTTATTGAATTTTAATTTATAATCTAAGAAATCATTAATATAGGTAATCATAATATTTATTAATTTAAAAAGGCAAGCTACTTGAGTAATTTTGGTTTACCCTTTAAAATATTTACTGAGACCTATAGATTATTTATGCATTTTAGTGTAACAGACATCAATACGCTATAAAGTAACAATCTTAAAGGTTATTTGATTGGAACTACTAACAAATTTATAAAGGGTCTTAATCAATTAAATCCAGATATTATAATAGATGTTGATATTGGAGAATTGAATATATTAAAAGAATAACATAAGAAATTATTAAAGTAATTATATTTATTTAATTAAGTCTTAAATTAATTGAAAAATAACTGTATAGTGCAATAAATACAGATTGTTTAAAATAACTGGATTTAAATTAATAAGATTAATTAAAGAGATTAATTCCAATTCAAAATCAAAAGATAACATTTTAAGGAAGTGAAGATTGGATTAGAAAAATAATTCATGATCATTACATAAAATTGTTATCAGAAATTAGCTATTTTTTTATCAATTTATAAACATTTGATGAAAGAATTAATAAATTGACTGCAATAAGAACCAGAAAGAGTATGATAATTAAATAAGAAATAAGTCCATAAGATGTAATATTAGAATCTATAATAAAAAGAGCTCTGATGATGAGGATGATGCATCTTAAGACCCGTAAAAATTAGAAATAAAGAAGCATAAAGAAGATTTAGTTAATGAATTAAAAATTAAGGAATATCGTAATTTACTATATGATTTGATGAGAGTGATAAGAAAACATAACAGAAAAGGTATCATATATTGGATTACAAAAACAGAGAATGGACTTAAATGGTTAAAATCATTTGATTATTCTATTATCACTAATTCTGAATGTTTTGATAAAAATTCAACATTTCCATTTTATAAAGTATTTGAAAATGCAGATATTTATATTGGAAATATGTAATATGGTGGAATGATTGAATTGTTTTAAAAAAGAGTATATTTAGGATAAATCCAAAACTTCCTTCGACATGGTTAAGGAAGATATGAAAAGTTAATGGATAAGAAATTTTAATATAAGGGTCAATTCAAACATAATAAATTTCATGGAGATGGTATATTAATTGTTGTTAATGAATTTTAATATAATGGACATTTTGAGTAAATATATCTATTGATTATAGAAATAATTAATTTAATGGATATGGTAATTTATAAAAGGAAAATTTAATTTATGAAGGATGGTTTAAAAATGGATGTTATAGTGGAACTGGAAAATTGATATTGCCTAATAAAGATGTCTATGTTGGCTAATTTTCTGAAGGTTTATTTTAAGGAGAAGGTCAATATGTATGGGCTAATGGTGATATCTATAAAGGGATATACAAGGCAGGAAAGAGACATGGTATGGGTATCTATTAAAGTAAGCATATGTTTAATTTAATTCTTTTAGCCAAATAGTATACATATGAAGGTGAATGGGTGGATGATTTAAAGGATGGTTTTGGAGTGATTACATTACAAGATAATAATTGTAAATATTAGGGATAATTTTCGAAAGATGAGTTTGTTTTAAATCAAGATATTATAATAAAATTTCCAGATGATAGCATTTATAAAGGTAAAATAAGTGATTTATTAAATAGGATAGATTAAAAATTATTAACCTCATGGAAAGGGTTATCTATAATTTATAGATGGTAAAATTTAAGATGGAAATTTCAAGGATGGAAACTTCATTATCTAAGAAGAGGTTGAAGAAAAAAACGTATAAGTTTTTCAACATTAATAAAATTAAAGTTATGAAAACAATATTCAAACAGATTGTTAAAATTAATAAGATATAGAAATTAATAAAACAACAAATCAAAATGAACAATTTTAATAATAAATTGATGATAGTTCCAATAAATCAATATGATTTATAGTTCATTAAAAATATAATTTTTGTATTAAATATAGTAATTTTAATTTAAATTCTCAAGAGTTTTTAAATTTAATATAAATTCGTTTTCATCAATATATTTAGTTCAATCATTATATCAATTATTTAATATTCTATATATCCAAATATTATAATTTATGATTTTAATTAATTAAAATTTTACAATTTCAAGTTGATATAACTTTCTGAGAAGAATAAATATGATGTTTAATCCATGTATAAGTTAAACTATCTCAAAATTTAACTGAATTTGATGTCAGATTAAATTTTTCATCTTTTAAATCTCTAACTTCTACAGTTAAGAAATCATTGTCTTTTCTTTGAGCCCATTTCACTATAAGAGTATTAACCAACATAATAGGATATATTTTACATTGTTTTTTTTATCAATTAATTATTATATTTTTGTTATTTAGCTGTTTTATATATTAATGATTAATAATTAACCTTTAAAAAATAATAAATATATATTTAAATGTCATTTAATAAACGAAATTCCTGCCAAATTAAGATTTGGAACCATAGTTCTTGTGTTTCTTCTATTCATTGAATTAACTCTGATTTCCCCTGGACTTTATAATTTACTTATTAATTCAATTCGACTTGATTTTCTTGGTATTTAATGTTCATCTTAAAGAAAACTATTTCTTGGAGGAGAACATAAAGATAAATGAGACTAATGAGATGTTTTAATAGGTTTGACATTTGTATGAGAGATTTAACTAAAATTTAATATTAAATTTACTTAACCAATGATTATTGAATTTTTTCCAATCGATTTGCAGTTATAAATTATGATTATTATTATTATGAAACTTATAAGGGTTTTGTTGAATCGAAGCTATTGAAAAATGCTTTATAAGAACTTGAAAAATCAGTCCATTTAAGTGGTATTTTATATATTTCATCTTAAAATTGTTTGATATGACTCTAATATTATTAATTTGTTTTGATTGTAATTTCATCAATCTGGTTTAGAATAATTTTAAATTATTCAATATCATTTTAAATTCCAGTTTATTATTATAATAAGCTTTTAATCTCATCTTTCATTATTTACATTTCTTTAATATCAATTTAGAATCCCTCTTCTTATTATTATAAATTTGTTGAATTAAAAGTTTCAAATTTTGAAATTTCATTCATAAATGCTTCAAGTTTATTATCCAGATATATATGCAAAGATTTAAATTCTGATTCAAGATCTGATTTAATTTTGTTGGATATTTCTCTTATTTTTTATTTATCAAACTAAATTATTCGAATATTATCTAAACATTTTTCAATAGAAACATTAAGTTTTTCAATAAATGGATGACCTTTAATTTAAATTAAGTCTTTTTGATTATTTTATTTTTTTGATGTAGTATATGGAATTATGACTGGAGGTTATAATTGTTATAATTTCATTTCTATTAATGCATTTATAGTTTCATCATCTAATATAGTTATGTCAAAACATGTTATACATTAAATTTAATTTTCATGCTATCGATTAATTATAATGCTTTTATACTTATTTAAATAATTTAGCTAAACATGAAAGGCAAAATGAATGTTCACAATCTAAGTATACAAATTTCTCAGGAACAATTTAACATTTTTCACATTTAATTTGATTCATATTATTTTTAACAACTTTATTTAATTATATAAATTATAAAAAATGTCTGATGATTGTGACATTTTGGGACCACTTGGATTTTCTATATAAATTCTATTAGGTGTGTTTTCATTCTTTATTTTGATTTGTAATTAAAATCTTAAAGGTTAGATAAAAGAATTGTAGAAAAACCTAAGAGGTAATGGAAAGTGTGGGGATTAGATACATCAAAATAAGGATGTTCATAAGTCTTTGCTCATTTTTTAAATGTTGCATTGGCTATACATTTGTCAGGTGATTCTGATGAATGTGTTTGGTATATAAGATTTTATAATTAAAAAGGTATTTGGCCACATTATTATTGGATACAACAATAGGAGTATTATTTAGTTATGTAATCCTAAAATTAGTTGAACTTGCATTAGAGCATTTTTAAATGGCAGTAAGATAACAATCATTTAGAATTATCGTTCAGGAAACTATTTTTTAATAATTATGCCAGATGACCAAGTTAAAAAAAATGAAATGAATAATAAAGATAAAGTACCAGCTGGTACTAATCTCATTAAACCTATAATAAAAATTGATTTAAAAGCATGGTTTATTCAATTAATTTTGTGGATATTAGTTGTGTCTATTGTAAATATTCATTTATTTATTATTAGTCTAAATTTTTCCTATTTTTATTACAATTAGTTATTGGTTTCATTTTAGAAAGCATTTCTTAATTCATATTATCTCCATTTTCAGATTTGGCAACTTTTAAATTAATTATTGTGATGTGTATTATCCCTGTTTTTATGAATGGTTTACAAGTATTTTAATACAAAATTATATATAGTTTTGGATTTAAGACAATTTTTTAAAAAAGACAGAATTTACAATTCAAGAAAAAAAATATGTATTAAGTGAGATGTATGTTGATGAAGAATTAACTAATTTTGCTAGATTAGATAATTTTGTAAATAATCCAGTATATATTATTCATTTAATATTTGACTTAGGAAGTGAAAAGTGATCATTGCTTAGATAAATTACAAATGGAAATGGCTAATGTAGGAGTGGGTGTATAATAAATAACTAAAGGATACCAAAAGGCTGATTTTGAGTGATTTATAATTAATAATTGATATCTTATTATAATTATTATTAAATAAATATAATTCAATTATCTATATAAGTAATTACTAAATCAATATTCAATTTAAGTCATCATTTTTTTATTTTGCATGTTATAATAAAATAATTGTATCATCAAATCTCATGTTTAAATTCTTACAATTTAACACTATAATAATATAGTAATCCATTTCATTAGAGTTATATACACTTGCTAAACAAGGACCAGCCGAATCAGTAATTCCAGTTTTAATACCAAAGAAACCTTTATCTAATAATTTATTAGTGTTTTTCCATTCATATTATTTTTAAAGTGTCTTAACTTAATATTCTTTACATGAAATAACTGTCTTGAATAATTCGTATTTTAAACATTCAATAGATAGAGTTATGATATCATTACAACAAGAATACTAATTTAAATTCTTTATTTACATTATCTTCATTTGCCATTCCATGTACACATGCAAATTAAGTGTTCTTTTATCCTATTTTAAGAGAGTATTAATTCATTTATTTCATGAAAATTTCAATAGGACAATATTAGAATCTAAATTCATTATTATAATAATATCCATCTGTACTTAATTGTTCTATATCAAGTAATTTGAGATCCAGAATCTTATTTTATTAATGAAACAATCTAATCAAGTCAATAGATATATTATTTTTACATTATAGTTCCAATAGCTTAGGCAATAAGAACTGCAGCATCATTTCCTGAAGGCAACATTAATCCATAAAGCAGATCTTCAATAGATAATATATCATTATATTATAATTCTGCAGTTGTGCCAATCATCTAAGATGCTTTTTTTGTCACTTTTACTTTTATCTATTTCACATTAAGATTTAATAATTCAATTGTTAACAAGGTTACATAAAAAGTCATGATTTTTGTTAAACTAGCAACTTCAACTTTCTTATTACTTTTTCTTTTCAAAATAGTTTTATGTTCGATGCAATTATAAACAACAAAACTTTTTGCTGTTACATTTAACTTTCTTTTTCTAGGTTTACCATAATAAGAATAGATTATTTTTTTAGCCGTATTACATTATTAAGTATTTCCAACATGAGAATTTGAATCTTTACTGCTTCCTGTAATAATAGAGTTACAAGTATAACTTTTTATTGGCATATTACTACTAGGTTTCAATTTGTGAGGAATGATTGATCTTTTTGTATCACTTTTATGTGTTTATAAAATAATGTTACTATTTCTATTCAGATCATTTATTTTAAATTGAGTATTCATAATTGTAAAAGATATCTATGGTAAGCTATTTTAAAGACTATTTAATCTAGGTTTTTTAGTGGTTTCATTCTCAATTTTAGAAGTCTATCTTTCCTTATCCAGAGATTATTATGAGTTTTGTATTGAATTTAAAGATTCATTTTTGATTATTATTCTATTCACAATAATTGGAGATTGAAATTCTGTGAAGATCTATGAAATTTTTTGATAATTCTTTAATAACTTAATTGATTTATTATGTTGTATAAGCTATATTTTTCTTGATTGAGGATGTAATAATTTTGGATTTATAAAATCAACGAAATTAACACTATTTAAGTTAGATGATGTTTTATTTCCAATCATTATTAAATAAATATATTATTAAAAATTATACAAAATTAACGACTCAATTTTCAATAATCTACTACCTTATCATCAATTATATTTGAATTAAGTTTTAAATATTCTATAAAAATAACTTTAAAAATTACTAAGAGAATTTCTTTTTTAAATATTTATTGATATATAATAAATTAATATTGTAAATCAAGGAAATTTATTGTAAAAAATATTTATGGAGAATTTTTAAACTAATTCAAAATAAGATATCGTAGATATATCAAATTCTTAGATGATTTATTAAATTACTGGCTAAAATGTTGAATTTCAGTTGTAATTAATGTTCTCTTCTTGAGATTTCAAGTTTTCATCTATTATATAAGTAGAGTTTATTCCTTTTAATTTTTTCTGATTTTGATATTTGATTATCATTATTGAAGATGTGTTGTAAATGAATATTAAATATAATTTATAGTACCAACTATTAAGAAAGATTTATATATTATTATGCAATATACATAAAATCTAATGATTATGTGATATATAAATATATTAAACCAAATGAAGTCGTTGAGATTAAAATTTCTTACAAAAGTAAACTCATTTGGCAAAATATTAATAAGCTCATCTGATTATTTTGCTTAATAACCACAACTAAGGATATAAAAATAAAAAAAATTTTCTACAACTTTAGGAGCATTTATGACTTATTGTATAATCACAGTTTGTATTATTCAACTTATTTCTTAAATTCAGGATATCTTTGATAGGAATCATCCTAATGTTATCACCTCAGAATTTTAATTATTCAATACTGATGTATATTTAATGTTTTAGAAAGGAATACATTTTATATCCACATAATTATACTGTTGCATTAGCCTTAATGGATGGCAAACTTTAAACAATTCAAGGGTAAAACCAATATTTTAATATCTCGTTAATGAACTGTAAAAGATAAAGATATATAAATGAAACAAATGGATAAAAAATATCTAAATTAGAGTATTTACATAAAAATATATATGTAGTTGTTACTATTATCCAGTCGAAGAATGTACAGATAAACATTTTCCGAATGAGTTCTAGCAAAAATATTTTAAATCTTTTAATAAATCTGGTTTATATTGTGCAAAAAGTAGTATTTGGAATGAAAGACCAATAAAACTTCAAGGTACTCCTTAATCAGATGTATTTTAATACATTGATATATTTATATCAAGATGCAAAAATAATACTGAATATCAGAATTGTTCGTCAGACTAATAAATAAATTCACAATTATCAGGTAATTATTTAGTCATTCATACATCTGACAGCCTTACAAAGATGTAAGAGTAGAAGAATTCTTTTGAAAAAATTATTTCAGCTTAATATTATTTTTATTCTGTCAGCATAACTAAAACTATTTTATCTTAACTAAAATTAATTGAAGTTTTATCAGATGTCGGATTACTTAGTACATATATATAAAAAGAATTCTCATTTTAATAAATGACAGTTAAGGAAACATAAGAAGTTTATAATAATCAATATATTTTTAAATATGGAATAATTCTAGATTAAAGAATGACTTAGTACACTAGAAGTTATTAAAAATTGTAAAATGCATTTAGTAATATTGGAGGACTATTTCAAGTATTAAGTTTAATTTCTTAAATATTTTTAAATCCTTTTACTTCATTTTTAACTGAGATTGAAATGGCAAATGAATATTTTAGATTTGAGTAAAATACTAAAGGAAAAAATAATATTCATAAAAATTAGAAACAAAAAAGCTTTTTTATACCTTAGGATTTATGTTAAGAAATTGTTGAAGAGGAGTTGCCTAATACATCAGGAAGAGTGTAAAAAGAAAAACTAAAATAAATTATTTAATCAAATCGTCTTGAAAACAGCATAGATATTTAAAAGTTTTTAAACTATTAGCAATTACATTAAAAAATGTCTAAATAAGTTATTTTTCAACTTGCAATTTGTTGTAATAAATAAAAAAATAAATAAATACATTATGCTATTGATAAAGTTATGTCAAAATTAGATGTATCATTCATTATTTAGAAGTTATAAGAGTTAGATAAATTGAAATATTTACTTTTATCAAATGACTAAATTAATCTATTTAATTATATTCCAAAACCGTTAATTCCATTTGGAGTTTTTGAATAGGAATTTTAAGAAAATATACAAAATTTAGAAAAAAAGATATCATATAAATTAATATTGGATGATGAAAAATCTGAAATAACTAAAATAAATGATGCTTTTAAAAGCTATTAAAATTTAAAATTAAAATAATACTTGTCAAAAACAGATAAATAGATATTAGACTTCTTAGATGATGAAATCAAATGCACTTTTGATTAACTTTTTGTATAGAACTTTAGAGGTCTTGAATCTAGAGAAAAACGACCTGCACTTGATATGGAAAGCATCTGTGAAAGTAGATTTCCAGTCAGAGATTCTATGATTGAAAGTTGAAATCACATTATATGAAAATATGATAATATTTCTATTTATCGATAATTATTTATTTTCATTATTTGAGATNAGAAGAATTCTTTTGAAAAAATTATTTCAGCTTAATATTATTTTTATTCTGTCAGCATAACTAAAACTATTTTATCTTAACTAAAATTAATTGAAGTTTTATCAGATGTCGGATTACTTAGTACATATATATAAAAAGAATTCTCATTTTAATAAATGACAGTTAAGGAAACATAAGAAGTTTATAATAATCAATATATTTTTAAATATGGAATAATTCTAGATTAAAGAATGACTTAGTACACTAGAAGTTATTAAAAATTGTAAAATGCATTTAGTAATATTGGAGGACTATTTCAAGTATTAAGTTTAATTTCTTAAATATTTTTAAATCCTTTTACTTCATTTTTAACTGAGATTGAAATGGCAAATGAATATTTTAGATTTGAGTAAAATACTAAAGGAAAAAATAATATTCATAAAAATTAGAAACAAAAAAGCTTTTTTATACCTTAGGATTTATGTTAAGAAATTGTTGAAGAGGAGTTGCCTAATACATCAGGAAGAGTGTAAAAAGAAAAACTAAAATAAATTATTTAATCAAATCGTCTTGAAAACAGCATAGATATTTAAAAGTTTTTAAACTATTAGCAATTACATTAAAAAATGTCTAAATAAGTTATTTTTCAACTTGCAATTTGTTGTAATAAATAAAAAAATAAATAAATACATTATGCTATTGATAAAGTTATGTCAAAATTAGATGTATCATTCATTATTTAGAAGTTATAAGAGTTAGATAAATTGAAATATTTACTTTTATCAAATGACTAAATTAATCTATTTAATTATATTCCAAAACCGTTAATTCCATTTGGAGTTTTTGAATAGGAATTTTAAGAAAATATACAAAATTTAGAAAAAAAGATATCATATAAATTAATATTGGATGATGAAAAATCTGAAATAACTAAAATAAATGATGCTTTTAAAAGCTATTAAAATTTAAAATTAAAATAATACTTGTCAAAAACAGATAAATAGATATTAGACTTCTTAGATGATGAAATCAAATGCACTTTTGATTAACTTTTTGTATAGAACTTTAGAGGTCTTGAATCTAGAGAAAAACGACCTGCACTTGATATGGAAAGCATCTGTGAAAGTAGATTTCCAGTCAGAGATTCTATGATTGAAAGTTGAAATCACATTATATGAAAATATGATAATATTTCTATTTATCGATAATTATTTATTTTCATTATTTGAGATATAAATTAATGAAATACTTATTAATTTTTACAATACTTTTCTATAGTATTGATTGTTAGAAATAACAATTCACTTATAGGTTTTCTGATGGCTCAAAAAGAAAATTAGAAGAACTTAAACCTAATATAAGTGAAAAGAAATGGGAGCCTTTAAGAATACATTTTGAATATTTATCATCAAATTATAATGAAAATTACACCTCATATATAACAGAAATACTTGAGATGGTCTCAATATTTTTTTATAGATTTCTTTTAGTTAGGAGAATGAATGAAAAAATTACTTTTAAAGAAAGTTATCCAAAATAATTTTATGGATTTCAAATAAAGTAAAGTTTAATGGATTAATAATATGATGCAGATTTAGTATAATCATTTCAAATTTTAGGTTATATTTGTAAACATTGAAAACTCAACAAAATTTTATAAAGCATATTGTGGTCCAACTGTTTATGATGAATTATCTTTGAGACCAATAATAGCATTAATGTCTTGGAATATTAACTATACAAAAATTGATAAAACTAATAAAATTATATATGAAAGTAATTTAGAAAGTGCAATCCATGAAATAATACATGGTTTAGGTATAACTTATGACTATTTTTCGAAATATTATGATTCAGTAACAGGGAAGAATTATGAAAATCCTAATTTCTATAAATAAAACAATATTACATACTTATCAACACCAAGATTAATTAAATTTGCTAGAATATATTTTAATTGTTCAAATCTAAAAGGTATTTAAATGGAAGACAATGGAGGTCCAGGAACAAGTGATTTTCATTTTGAAAGATTATTATTATATAATGAGCTTATGACTGGATCATAATTAACTGGAAATCTTTTAATAACTGATTTTACATTTTAATTATTACAAGACACAGGGTAAGAATAATTAATAAATAGATTTTATCGTATATCAGATTATACACCAGATTAAAGTTAATGGGGAAGAAATAAAGGATGTAAATTTGTTGAAAATTATTGTAATAATAATAATTTTACTGAATTTTGTTATTAAAAAAATATTGAGAGTTGCTCATATGAAAGAACAGGACAATCAATATGTATGTAAGAGATTTTAGGTGGATAATGCATGTATTAATAGATTTATACTGATTAATTTTGTAAAAATGATTAAAATTAAGTTTAAAATAAGTCATCATAAATAATTACGTATTATGGTTCTGATAGTATCTGTTTAGATGGATCAATCTCACCAATAGAATCCTATTAAAAATTTACTTGTCAAAAATTTAAATGTGATTTAAATAATAAATTGAAGATCATAATTGGTGATTTAGAATTTGATTGTTCTTAATCAGGTTCAATTTAAATACCAAATGATTTCTTTGGCAATTTAGAATGTCCTAATAATCCAGAGAACGTGTGTTTATTCAGAAATGATTGTCCAAATTCATGTGGTTTGAAAGGATTTTGTATTAATAAACAGGTTATTATTTATTAAATATTGTAGTGTATTTGTTCTAAGGGTTATTCTGGATTAGATTGTCAATAATAATGTGATGATTATAGATATCAAGGATCTTGTTTATAAAATTGTCCAAATTTAACATATCCCTTAGATATAATTAAATATTGTATAGGATGTCCTGGAGTAAAATTATTATCTAATTTAGAATTGTTTAAATTGTTCAAATTATAATTAATGCACTAAATGTAAATCTGGATATTTGTTGAGAGAAGGATTTTGTGACAATCTTTTATTGGAAAAAGAATTGGATTATTAAAATCCAGAATATATTGATGGTATTTATATACAATAAAATTGAAAGAAAATAATAATCCTTAATCATCCGATACAAACTCTGCAGAAATAGTAATTTCAACAAATTCTAATATATTGATGATGTGTATAATTTTATTCATGTTATTATATTGAAAAAAATTACTCAATTGTTTATATATTTATTAATTATAATAGAATCAATCAGAGATCAGAATATTTTAAATATAATTGTCATGATTTATTAAATATTCATTGAGATTCTTTAAATTGTCTATATTTATCAAAAATTAATAAAATTGATCTAAAATAAATAAAATCAAATATTGATTTATAGTTCCTCACAATATTTTAAAATCTAAGTATAATTTTATGAATCTTGACATTCTAAGTAAGTTTCATAACTAAATTCGTTACTTTCACAAACTAATACAGGTAATTGAGTTATTATAATTGAGGCTTTTAAAGAGAGCTAAAGTTTTAACCATTCAATAGGTTCTCTTGATAATCCTCTTTTATCTATAACAGCAACAAGTAATTAATCTTTCATATAAGATAAACATATTGGTTAAATATTAGTATCTAAATTATCATTTAGAAACCATAAAACTTTTTCTCTTTTATTTTTATCAAGTTGATCAGCTTTTGTTTATGAAGCTTGCATAAGTAGAATCATTTCATTTTTGACTAAACAATTATCAGATTTGATACGACTCAAGAATTAAAGATATTCTCTTGAATTACATACTTCTTTCCATTAATCTATATTAAATGAATTAATTTGAGCTTCAAGAAATTTTTCAACTTCTAATCTCAATTAAAGCATTCTTTTGAAAACTAGAAATAGTGGAATTATCCAAAAGTTTTATAATGCATCTAAAAATTCAATTGCTTTTGCTACAGTTTAACCAATTATGTTAATACATTCTAAAGATCTTAAATATTTTTATGTAAGAATTTCAATTTCAACTTGAGGTCTTTTAATTAATTAAATATAATTATCTGGTTAAGCTAATTCAACTGAATTTTAAATAATTGGATTAGAATCTTAAGATAGATGCCTTAAACTTTTAGCTTTATATTCTTTGATAGCCATTCTAATAGAACTAACTCTTGATCTAATTTTATCATTTTCAATTTCTTATTATGAAAGTCTTCTATTGAATTTTTTATCATCAGATTCATCAATTCTTTATGTAAGACCAATATTTGATAGATTAGATCCAGTTCTAAGACTTCTAAGATCACAACTTAATTATACAGTATGATCTGATTATTTAGTAGCAAATTTAAGTTTCATTTTATTAGTAGAAAAGAAATTGTTAATTTGTTTAGTTGTTTTTACCGAAGAATTACATCTTTGTTTATGTTCTTCAATAAATTTATTTTTATACAAAGATGAAATTTTACTAATTAGAGATTAATTTGAAGTAGATTAATTACTATTTGATGTACTTTCATGTAATACTATTGAAGTTCTTTGAGTTTTTCTACCAGATTATTTACTACTTAGTCGAGAAGCAGATCTAATTTTCAGATCTGACATTGATCTTACTTCATACAATTTTAGTATAGCCTTGCATTTAGGATCATCCCTAAAAGCTGAATGATGAGGTATTTATTCCCAAGGGATTGGATTTTCAGGATTTAGAAGTTGTTATAATAAAGAGATGATAGATTGTTTTTTAGTAGTTACTAATTAAACTAGATCTAATTTTCCACCATTGACCCATATTTATATGCGTTTGTTAATCTCATTTATTATAAATGATCCATTAGTCATTACTAAATACATAATACCCAAAGACCATTAATATTATGATAAACATTGTTTGCCTTTTAGAATCATAGGATTCCAATAAGCACAATAATTTTCAGTCCTCTTTCTTAATCCAAAATCTAATACAACTATTGAATCACCATTACGCATAATATTTTCAATTGTACAATCTCTTGGTGATTACCCTTTATATATATCATAAGCAAAATATATTCTAAGTAGATGTTATAAGTTTCCACCTGTTAATTACCAATCTACGCAATTATCAAATAACACATCTATAAATGTAGGTGTTCTAATTATCTGAACTATCATTGGAAGTAAGTTATACACAGGTTTAATGTATTTCCCTTCAACTTTAGATTTCACTCTCTGATGCTATTCTAAAAATCTCAATTCTTGCTCTATATAGGCTGTATCATTGAATCTTGCAATCAATACTTACTCATTAGATAATTTGACATGACCACGGAATGCTGACCATTATTATCCTTTCCAAATAGGAAATGTAATTACATAAGCACACATATAAATAAATACAAATTATTTGGGTGATTTTTTATTATAATGAAATACCTGATGAGTTTGGATAACAATAATATTCATGTAAAAAAATAAAAGAGGGAGACCAAAAAAATAATAACAATAATAATAAAATATTATTGCAATCAATCATTCAATCTCACTTAGAAATAATAAATAAAAAGATCATTTAGATATAACAACTGAGTATGATAAAATCATGGCTTAAATCAAAGAAGCTTATGCTTCCTTAAATGATGCTAGTCTTAAAAAATAATAGTAAATTTAAGATTCACCAAAAAAACTTAAAAAAATTGTTAAAAGAAGTTAAAAGCTGAAACACCCTACAAAATCTAATAAAAAATAAGAGTCTCCAGAGGAAAATGTTAAATTAGAACACCAAAATTTATAAGAACATTTAGAATAGATGATATCTAAATTTTAATAAATATTTAAGAATTTTGCTGAAAATATAAAAATAGAGATTACAAAGACAGAATAGGAAATGCTCAAAATTTTGAAATGATGAGTTTAATATAAATGCAGATAATTTAATTATTATTATTATTATTCCAATATACATTAATATAAGTCTTCAATTTTCCTTCTTTTTCTCTTAAAGTTCTTTTTCTATTTTATCCAATTTTCTATTCTCTTTGCAATCATTGATACATAAGATTGTTACAAAGATTGTTAAACCTGTTAATACAATTACTGCTATCTAATAAATATATAATTTTATTTTTTACAAATATCCAAACATTATTGAAATATTTATCAATAAAATTTTCTTAGTAATGTTCATATTTAGGGATTTCATTTATTTCCTTTGATTGTAAATAATCTTCTTCAATAAACTTTATTATTAATTCAGGTGTTCTTTATCCTTAAAATTTATATGTCTTATTATCCTTGATGTATAATAAAGTAGGATATCCCTTAACTCCAAATCTTTTCTTTGCATCAGGATTTGTAACACTAATTTAATTATCTTTTTGAATACCAATCAATTGCAATAAATTTGTAATCTACTTAATCTGCCAATTTATCCAACACTGGTATCAAATTTTTACAATGACCACACCATGGTGCATAAAGCATTATTAAAAAAGGTTCTGACTTTTATATTTCTTATTCTAGTTGTTCTCCATTCAATTATAGAATTCTAGAGTCACTTTTAAATTAATGTGCAACCACGCAATAAATAAATAAAAAAAACATATGGCAAGAGCATTTCAAATTATTTCCAGATTATCAGGAATTATTGGAGTCCCCCTTGGAATTTGGGCTGGTTTTATAACTAGAGATGAACAATATTTCCCATCTTAAAATAGAATGGAAGAAGTATATTAAGAATATTTAAGGAGAAAGTAATAGTGAATGAAATAAAAATATATATCAACATTTTTTTTATATTATCTCTAATAGTATTTCTGGCTCTTATGTCAATTTTATAAAATCCTTTCTTTTCTTTATAGTACTAATATTATCCACTAATTATTTCATTGTTTGGATTCTTAATAATCTACAATTATATCTAAAATTTATTTATATATTTCATACTTTTTAGAAAACAATATTAACTCTATAACATTATTACAATTTATCTTTCTTATTAATTATTCTTCACATAAATATTTCAATCTTTACATTATATATTGATCAGATAAAACTATCAAACTCAATAATCTGGTTGTACTTAAACTAGAGTCTAATTAATCAGTATATATATATTGTAACATTTCCATAAAAGTCTAATGACAACATTCAGTAATCTCTATATAGATTTATTCTTTATCTCTAAATTCTTCAAAAAATAGAGTCTAAAAGTGTTCACTTCTAGCTCCTAAGATACATCTATTAGCATAAACTTAATGATCTTCTACAATGAATACAACATCACTCATCAAAGGATTATTTATTAATGATCTTAAGTCCTAAATAAAACTAGATCTTGGAACTTAAGCATTCTTGAATTCTAATTTGTATATATCACTTAATAATTCATCCCCATCATATCCTCCAAAAACATAGAGAGAATCATTATACAATTAAAAAACCATAGAAGATCTACCTTTTGGAGGTTCATGAACTTCTAATTTTTTCCAAGTCTTACTCCCAAATTCAAATTCATATAAATCATTTAATCTTGCCTATCCATTAAATCCTCCAAATAATAATAATTTATTTTAATAAACTTCTGATGTATGAAACTATATAATAATTTAAAAATATTACATATCTAGGACATGGAATTGTACCATGTTAACTTATTCTTTTAACTTTTCCTGAAAAAATATTTAATTTATAAAAATCATTTAATCTATTAACTCCATCAAATCCACCAAATATATATATATAATTATTTAATGTACTATAAGATGGACAAGAACGAGCAGATGGAATATCTCCTATTAATTATAATTTATTCCACACTTATTCTTCAAAATCCCAAACATATGCATCATTAAGATAATGATTACCATCACATCCTCCAAAAATAAGCATTTTAGTTTAATAAGCACCACAAGCAATACCAAACCTTTCAGAAGGACATTGACCAGTAGGTTCAATTTTTTTCCATAAAAGTGTCTTAAGATTAAGTGAATAAAAGTCATTCAACCATAATAATCCATCACAACCACCAAATACATACATATGATCTTTATATTAGATTGCTCCATTATTTTCTCTAGCACTTGGCTTCTATCCTGTTGTATTTAGATGTTACCATTAATTAGAACTAAATGAATATCTATGAACATCATCTAATCTTCCATTAAATGTAAAACCACCAAAGATATATAAAAAATCTTCATATATAACCCAAGAACAATTGTTCCTTTAATTTGGCAATACTTAATCAAATCTATCTAATCGTTCCCATGTCTAATGATCATAATATTCACATTCATCAATTTCGAGTTCATCATGTTTTATAAACATAGAAACTGAATTAAATCGTTCATCAATTTCAAATTCTCTATCAACTCGATGTGATTGATTTATTTACTATCTCATTAAGGCTCTTTTTGTTCTTAAATTGTCTTGTTCTGATGATAATCTTCTATTCATATTTTTTAATTATATATAATTATTTAAAATATACCAAAGAAATTGAATACAATTTTTTTAATTTCTGAACAACTAAATAAATTTAATTCAAAAAAAAATTAATAATTGCTGTTTATAATAACTTATCATAACAGAATATGTTTAATTTAATTTAGTCTCTATATATTTTTATTAATAAATTATTATTCATAAAAATATTAGATTAGAGATCAAATATCAAAATATCATAATGAAAATCAAATTACAATCCAAGAATATACAAAGAAATACAAATTTATACTTAATTCTATAGAGAAATTATACATTTAAAAAGTTTAACTAAAATTTAGATAAATCAAATGGTCTCTATTATTAATGAATAGTCTCTTAAATCATATTATCACAATAACTATTGATGGATTAAATGAATTAAAAATGGATAAAATATAATTATCAATATATATATATATTTATTTACAATTATTTTATCATATCTTTTTGAACATTCTAAATTCCAAAATAAAACAAATATAACTTGCAGTCATCCAAAAATAATATTTATTATGTCTTTAATTCTTTACTTTTCACCTCTATCACCACCTTCAAGAGCTGTTCGCTCTTTTTTATTACTATCCAAAGCAGTATTTTAAGGAAAAGTTGTGGACCTAATGAAAGGAGAACATAAATCTGCTGAATTTTCTAACATCAATCCAAACGAATCATTACCAGCTTTAGTAGATGGTGGCCTGAAAATGTTTGAGAGTCATGCAATCTTGAAATACATTGCTGTAAAAAAATAACTATATCAATATTATCCCAAAGTATCCATTTGTTATAAATTTAGAACTCTAGAAACAGAGCTTAAGTTGATTGCTATTTAGATTGGAGTTAAACTGGTCTGGAAGCTATAGGAAAATATGTTAATCAATGTTTTCTATTTCCTAAATTTATGAATAAACCAGTCCCTGATAACAAATAAGAATTACATAAAGATGTAATTGATACACTAAAATTCTTTGAATCAACCTTTTTGACTGGCAGGTACATTTTTAATTAGTCAGCAATAACACTTGCAGACATTAAGTATATATTACATTTATATTTATTAGAGCCACATCTGATTTATCTTAACTATTGGTATCTGATTTGGATTTCAATTAATTTCCAAAGATTAAAGAGTATTTATAGGAAATGTTTTCAATCTAACCAATAAAAGAAGCCTATGCTGAATATTTATAAATGATCAATTCTTCTAATCCTAATGAATGTGTTTAATACATTATCAATGGAATAGACAAGTCATAATCCTGGAAGATTACTCTATATATGCATCCATTTTCTTCTCCTTCAAGAGCAGCAAGAACAGTTTTATTATTTAGTGGATTAGATTACAATGAAAAAACTGTTAACTTATTATAAGGAGAACATAAATAACCAGAGTATTCTGCTATCAATCCAAATTAATCTATACCAGCTATAGTTGATGAAAATATCAAATTATTTGAAAGTGGAGCTGTTATGAAATATGTAGCAAGGAAGTTTAATTTATATAATTTGTATCCAACTTAACTTTAATCCAAAGCTAAAGTAGATGAATATTTAGATTTTCATCTTACTGAAATGAGTTCTATTCCATAATATACATTTTCATGTTTTTTGGGTCCTCAAATGATGAAATTACCCATTCCTGCAGACAAAGATTAATAATTATAAAATGTTATAGGAACATTAGAGTTTTTCTCTAAAGTTTTTTTGAATAATGGTAAATGGTAATTCATAAATGATTCTCCATAACCAACTTTGGCAGATATTAAGGTAGGATGTGACTTAGGTTAATTATTTATAACAGATTTTCCTTTTGAGAAGATTCAAGGATTAGAAAATTATGTTAAACGATTATTTGACATACCTGAAATGAGAAGATCTCATTGTGAAATGTTTAGCTTTTTACAAAATTAAAAAATAGGAAGATTTGCCTAATCAATATGTTAAACATAGCCTTTGAGAAGCTAAGAGAGAATAACTTTATATTTTAATTTTTTTTCACCACCATCCAAAGCAGCTAAATCATTATTAATGTTGGCTAATATTCCATTTACAGAAAAAGTGATTGATGTTCAATCAGGTGAAAATAAAAAGAAACCATACACTGATATTAATCCTAATGAAAGTATTCCTGCCTTATCATTTGGTAATTTCAACTTATTTGAAAGTCATGCTATAATGAAATTCATTTGTATTCAATTCAATTTAACTGAATTTTATCCAAACTATCCTTTAAGAGCTAAAATTGATTCCTATTTAGATTTTCATCATTCAGGATCAAGAAAAATAACTTTATTTATATTAGATTTCTTCTTTGGTCCAAAGTTCTTAAAGAGGGAAATGCCAAAAAATTAGGAAGAAAGATAAAAAGAAGTAAGTGAATTGTTACAATTCATTGTGAATGTATTTTTTGCAGGAGGAAATTATAAATATGTTATGGGATCAAGAACACCCACAATAGCAGATTTATCGTAATTTATTTTATAATATTTAAAAGATTAATTTGTGAAATTGCAAATTTGTTCTTTGTAGATTTTGATTTCAGCCAATTTCCAACTTTAAAAGCATATCTGAGAGACATGTTTAACATGAAATAAGTGAGAGAAACTTATAGCAAATTTTTCATGGTTACAAGATTTATGTCAAAATCAATGAATCCATTCATAGAATCAATAGTTAAAGGAACAGAAGAAGGAGGAAGTTCATGTTGTTAAATATATCATAATCTAAAATTGGCAATCATACCATTAATAAATTCACCAATTTTATCTACTATTTATAATGTATTTATTTCTTATTCTTATATATAATATCTTGATCTTTCCATTTTAACATTAATTATTTCTTATTATTCAAGTTCAGTCTCAACTTCTTTAATTTATTTAATCAATTTATTTTCATCTTTAGGTTTCTTTTCAATTTATTATTATAATTCATTGATCTTCTCTAATCCTTATACATTTGTTAAATAATGAATTTCATTTATCATATATACCATTAAAATAGTGAGCCATTAACAATCATTCAAATTCTCTGGTTTCAAACCAAAATAATGTTACTAATTAATCTTCATTATTTTAAGAACTTTATCATCATATTAAAATAAACCATCAGCATATTATCTTTCCATTAATTCATTTATCATAACTTTTATTGATGGTTTTGTTTTAGGAATAATAAATTTATTATATAATCCCATAAATACTCCTCCAACAGTTCCTCCAATAAGAGCCCCTAAAACTGGAATTGGTATCAAAATTTAACCTGCTACAGCTGTACCAATTCCAAATGAACTTTAAAATCCTAAATGTGCAATATTTTTCATCTTTTCACTTTTATCCACAACTTTATTATTTGCTTATACTCTAATTGCATAAAAAAGTAAAGCTTAAGATAATATAACTCCTACAACAGGTATACGCATTGCTGCTCCAACTAAACCTGTAGCTACTGAACTAATACCAGCTCTTTTAAGTTTCTCATCCCATGGTATTTTAGGATCAACACTATCAACAATTAAACAACCTAATCCTGCACCTACAGATCCCTTTAAAACTGGTTAATTAGCTAAAGCACTTTATTTTTTTCTTTTTTCATTTAACCAAATTTTATATTTGATACATTCTTCATCTTAAGCAAATAATTTAGAATCAAGATCTGCTGTTGCAAAATATTTATCATCTAATATATAATACATCTAAATTGCATCCTAAAAAGATTTTGTTAATGTGGACATTTCATATAATCCTTAATTTAATGGACTATATTCATAAAAATGTCTAATTATTTATTTTACCAAATCTTTATCAAAAATTTCAAATTCTATTCTATGAAATAACATTTCTTTTAAGGATACATGACATTAATCTATTATATATTATGATGTTTCTATTTATAATATCTAATAAGTTCTAATATTTGCTAAAGTATGATATTTTGTAAGAGTTTCATTCAAATATTCCATTTAAGTATTACAAAATAAAGATGTTCGATTGATATATAAATGAACATTTTAGATTATGGAATTAAAATATTTTTTTAATTCCCAATAAAATATTTCATTATTTATTACTCTTGCAAAATCACTCATTTCCATTGATAATACAATCATACAATGTTCTAATTTATCTGTAATATATTGATGAAATTCTTCACAAACAAAAGGTTTTGTTGTTAAATCTATCAAAATCTATTCCATCAACATATAGGTATGATTTATTAATTGAATGCTTAAATTATTGAAATACTCCAAATATTCAGGCCATCTAGGATTCTTATATTAAGGCCAATTAATGCATTCTATTTCTATTTATTTTAGAACACCTTATTTGATTTCTTCCTTTGATCCTTCCATTTATTTGATTATTTCTAACTTGATAAATTTGCAGATGCTTAAAATAACATCTGCATTTTCTTCATTCAAATTTTTTATAATAAGTTCCTACTTTTTACAAATTGATTAATAGAGATTTTCTTCTTCTAATTTGTTCTCTACAGCCAAAAGAGATTTCAAAATGTTTTTTGGATTTATTGTGACTGGCACAACTTTAGATATAAGTAGTTGTTGTTTTATAGTTTCTAAAAATCTATCCTCAAACATTAATATTAATATTAAATTCAAGGTAGAATCATCTTTAATAATCAATCTTATTTATCTATAAACAGCTTATTGTGAAATATATTCTTATTATATATTATTCTCATACAATTTATTAATCAATCAAGTTAAATATTTTAAAGTAAAATTTTAAAAAAGTTCATCTATTTGCAATCAAATTTGAATTAGAATTTTCTTATACTCTTATTTTGTAAATTCATATACAATAATTCTATGAAATAAAATAATAATTTTATTGATAAATTAATTCCATAAATTTCATTCTAGTTGAAAATTGAAAATTATTTATAATACATTAATAAAAATATCTTAAATATAAGAATCAACAAAATATAATGATAATATATTTTTATTTAGAAATTCTAAATCTGGTAATTAGATAATTTGTTAAATTAATCTGCGAATAAAAATCAAATGAATTATGAAATCTTCAAAAGTGATAATTAGAAAGTATCATAAATATAGGGAGTCAGTTCAGGAAAGAATATATTTACTTCAGAATCTAAATAAATCATTACTTAAGTAAATGTTTTTTTTATACTTAGCAACCAGTGATTGAATATTCTTAAGAAAGAACACTAATCTAATCTTAAAACGAAGCTAACTTGAAACAAACATAATAAATGCCACCACAAAGAATTTAAAGTCAAAATGTCTTAAGATAAAATATGTAAATTCCTTAAGTGTCATATCCAGGTACTTATAGTGTACAGTAAAATTGTTAATAACCACCACCTTTATGCATGAATATAGTAGTGGNTCATACAATGTTCTAATTTATCTGTAATATATTGATGAAATTCTTCACAAACAAAAGGTTTTGTTGTTAAATCTATCAAAATCTATTCCATCAACATATAGGTATGATTTATTAATTGAATGCTTAAATTATTGAAATACTCCAAATATTCAGGCCATCTAGGATTCTTATATTAAGGCCAATTAATGCATTCTATTTCTATTTATTTTAGAACACCTTATTTGATTTCTTCCTTTGATCCTTCCATTTATTTGATTATTTCTAACTTGATAAATTTGCAGATGCTTAAAATAACATCTGCATTTTCTTCATTCAAATTTTTTATAATAAGTTCCTACTTTTTACAAATTGATTAATAGAGATTTTCTTCTTCTAATTTGTTCTCTACAGCCAAAAGAGATTTCAAAATGTTTTTTGGATTTATTGTGACTGGCACAACTTTAGATATAAGTAGTTGTTGTTTTATAGTTTCTAAAAATCTATCCTCAAACATTAATATTAATATTAAATTCAAGGTAGAATCATCTTTAATAATCAATCTTATTTATCTATAAACAGCTTATTGTGAAATATATTCTTATTATATATTATTCTCATACAATTTATTAATCAATCAAGTTAAATATTTTAAAGTAAAATTTTAAAAAAGTTCATCTATTTGCAATCAAATTTGAATTAGAATTTTCTTATACTCTTATTTTGTAAATTCATATACAATAATTCTATGAAATAAAATAATAATTTTATTGATAAATTAATTCCATAAATTTCATTCTAGTTGAAAATTGAAAATTATTTATAATACATTAATAAAAATATCTTAAATATAAGAATCAACAAAATATAATGATAATATATTTTTATTTAGAAATTCTAAATCTGGTAATTAGATAATTTGTTAAATTAATCTGCGAATAAAAATCAAATGAATTATGAAATCTTCAAAAGTGATAATTAGAAAGTATCATAAATATAGGGAGTCAGTTCAGGAAAGAATATATTTACTTCAGAATCTAAATAAATCATTACTTAAGTAAATGTTTTTTTTATACTTAGCAACCAGTGATTGAATATTCTTAAGAAAGAACACTAATCTAATCTTAAAACGAAGCTAACTTGAAACAAACATAATAAATGCCACCACAAAGAATTTAAAGTCAAAATGTCTTAAGATAAAATATGTAAATTCCTTAAGTGTCATATCCAGGTACTTATAGTGTACAGTAAAATTGTTAATAACCACCACCTTTATGCATGAATATAGTAGTGGTATCTAAAGAAGAAATAGAAACTCCTTGGAGATTAGAATGTGAATATCTTTAATCAATTATTGCTGATTTAGAAAGAAGAAAAGAAGCAAAAATTGTTGAGAAGGTAGTAATAGAGAAGGTGACTGATAACACTCAAGTAGAGTAATTAGAATCTTAATTACGTTCTTTACGATAGGAAAATGAATATCTTAAAAGTTAAATGATTCAAATGAAAAATAATTATGAATCTTAATTAGAGAATTTACGTGGTGATATTTCTTTACATAGTGCTAATGCTGCTGATGCAAATTCTATGTAGGCAGAATTCTTTGCAATGAGAACCTAATTAGAAGACTAGATTGCAAGACTAAGAAGATAATTAGCTGATTTAGAAAATCTTTATGCTCAATCTTAAAGTGATAATGATAGATTAAAATAATCTAATTAAAATAAAGATGCAGAAATTTAATAATTAAGATTATAATTATCTAAATTGTAGACCAGTGCTCAGGATACAAGTTAAGTGAGAGATTTAGAAAATTAATTGAGATTGGCCAGAGAAGAAATTTCCAGATTAGAAAGATAATTACAATAAGCTAATTAAGATATTATGAATTGGAAGAGTAAGTATACAATAATAGAACAGGAATCATATAATAAGAATAATGAACTCATAATGTAATTGAGAGATTTAGAAGTTATATATAATATGTTATTTTTAGAATAAATTAGCCATGATTACTGTTGAAATGGGTAGATTATAATTACAATTATAAAATAAAGATTCAGAGCTTGAAGATTGGAAATATAGATACACATCATTAGAATCATAAGGAACAACTGTGATTTAAGAAAAAGTGACATATTTATCATAAGAAGTGGAAGTTTGGAAATAAAAGTTTATAAAATCTAATCATGAATATAACAAATGTTAAGAAGAGTTAACGATGTGTTAAGCTGAATTGGAATCTTTAAGAAAAAGTGGATAGAAGAAAGTTTATTAATATATATATTCTAGGAAGTAGTAGTGACCTAAAGAACAGTTACTTCAAGAACAGGTAATACTTTATCTGTTACAGGTACAACTGGATCTTAATCCTAAATAAGAAGAACTGGTTAGTAAGAGTGATATTTACATTTATATAAGAATATTAATATAAAATTTAATCAGAGCATAAATTTTATTGAATATAGATATTTTCTTAATTATGGATTCTTAAAATAAAGACAAAGAGAATATATAATTTAAAAACATAGTACTCATAAAGAATATTTATTAAATTACTAAGTTATTTTAACTTATCTTTTATTAAATATATAAATTAATTATTTATTTTCGATCACAATTGAATTCTCTTAAATTATTAAAAAAAAGAATAATATTTCATTTGTATTTGATTATTAAAAATCAAATTACAATTCATATTATTAATGTATACTAACTCTGTTTATGAATATATTAATATTATATTACATTTGATTATAAAATTTTGAATAGAAGAACAATATTTATAAATACACGTATTATTAATTAAAATGAAAATTGTTTTTGTTTTTGTGACTTTGTTTTTCCTATTAGAAGCTGCTAAAAAAAAGAAAAAGACGGATGATAGAAGACCAACTACTGTTGAAGCTTTACTTTATTGCAATAGTTGTTAAGCAATCGTTCGAGAAACATTAAAGAAAGTTAAAACATCAACAAGAGAATCAGATATTACTGATGCTCTATCTGAAATGTGTCAAATGAAAAATTTCAGTGTTTATGAATATCCTCCTCCTGATATGAAAAAAGGATGTGAAGCATTTATGTCCGGATGGTCAGAAGAAATCACTGAAGCTTTAATGAATAGAAAAGGAAATGATACAATTGAAGATGAAATTTGCTATAAATTAACAAATGTAATAATATTTATTATATCTTTAATTAGTCATGTAAAGATATTGAAAAAGGTTAGAGAAAATAAAATGATGATTATGTCACAATTAATGGTAAGAAAGTAAAAATGGGAGATGATGGAAAAGTTGATATCAATATGAACAAACCAGCTCCAGATGATGATGATTTATGATATAAATAATGTTTCTTAATATTTTTAATTATTAAATTATATATAGCTGTTAATATAAATAATCATATTTATATTATAATTCTTGAAAAAACTGAATAAATTATTTCAACATTGATATAATATCAATTATTCAAATAATAACTAAACTAAATAAATTAAAATTCTTTTATATATTTATAATTTATAACGCGATGTATATATATATATAACTCAATAAATACTTGAGTTTCTTATCATTCTGTAGATAAGAAAAGAAGAAACAATTCAAGTATATATTTTTTAGTATCTATTCTATTCTCCTAAATAGTTTCTTTTTATATAACTATAAAATCTATTCTTAACATGATTTTCCTATTAAAATATTAAACATAAAATTACAGGTCTTCCATTAAGATTATTCGAAATTTTAGTCCATTTAGGTCCATTAATGTTATATTAATATAAAATAAGCATATCTTCTTCATAAGTCCAAGGTTATTTATTTATAGATTAATCTAATTTGTTAATATATCTATCTCTAACTTATTTCCCTGTAATGTTACCAAAACCTAAAATTATATAATCAAATTACATTTTGCAATCTTCATCCACTATTTCCCAATGTCTTAAACTAATTATTTTAATCTATCATCCTCCTCCTGTGTCCAAATATGTCTTGACTAAAAAATTTATAATTTGATAAAAATACATCTTTTGGTGGATTGATTCTTCTCCATCTCTACTAACATTAAGAAGCATTTCTTTGAGGCATATGCTTTGCAATTTCATTCCATTTTCCTTAAAATTCCATAAATAAATGTTTGAGTCTTTAATCCTCTTAATCATTCCAAATTTTTTGTTTTCTTTTATTTAACTCTTGATTCAAAAAATTGAGAGATGTATCATCTTCCTTTATTTTAAAAATCATTTCTTGATCTTCTGTATCTTAAAATTATAAACGTTCATTAGTATTCAATTACACTATTAAGTAAAATTAAAAAAAATAGTACTATGATAATTTGATTCAAAATCTGAATATGGTTCCATTTCAAATGATTGAGAAGATGAGATTTTCTAATATGTAAGTACTTCATCTTAAAAATTCGAATCTGAGAGCATATTTGAAAACATTGATATTTTATTACTATTTTTACATAATTGAAATAGATTAATAGTAAAATAAAATAAAGCGAATAAACTGAAATACATAATTAAAATAATTAATTTATATATCAAATATTTTTTACAAAAAACAAAGACAAGTTACCAAGCATCAGATTTTCATTCAATCCAAATGGCTCTATTATTATTCACTCATCTATATAATTTTTTGATTGTTTTAATTTTTTCATTGAACATTATCAATTGATATGTATCTTTTCAAAGCAATTACTTTTGTGATTTCATTTATAATATTAAATTTCTTTAAGAATATAAATATTTTCGTTTTTAGTACAAAAATAGGAATTAACATAGCACATTTATATAAATCCTTAATTTATATTAATTTTTTTTAGACTCAAATGAATAATAAGTTTAAAGCTATTTCGATATACTTTTAGAATTTTAAAAAGATTCCATTTACAAGTATAAGATATTTTTTTTATTAAATATCTGAAAAAAACTGTAATTTTGATTTTGTATTCTATAAATTTTATATCATTTTCATGAATTAAATAGAGAGAATATGTGTGATTATAAATTTATCATTTGTAACTATATTATTTATTGAAATCAAGATTCAAATTAGTTAATTCACTTAATTATTTGAATAACACTTAACAAGAATCTCTATTTAATATTATATAGAATATTACATCTTTTAAGCATCCTTGACTAATAAATTTGGATATACAATACTTAAATTTTTGGGTGTTTATTCAGACTCTAAAATTTAATATAAATATATACTTGGAGTTGTATTAGAGTAAGGAGTTTAGAAATTTAATTATCTTGACACTGGATCTCTCTTTATTAATTTTTCTGGTGTTTTATAATACATAATTCTTCTTTAAACTTATCTTCTAGGAATTCCTTTAACTAAAGTTTCATCTTATCTTGGATGAACTTAAAGATCTTCCCATCTATTTTACATTTTTAATCTCCTTTTTAAAGTGCTATTCCAATGATTTTTAATAGAATTATCAGTCCTACCCTTTAAAAGTCCAGCAATTAATGACCATCTATTTCCTAATTTTTTATGAGCTTCAATAATTGTTTAATCTTCTTCATCAGTCCATCTTTCTTTATTAATTTTAGGATCTAAGTGATTATGAAATCTAAGTATAATAATAATAAATACCTCTCTCTACATTATTTTCCAATTCTACCTGGTAAATGCTTTGCAATTTAACTCCAATTTTTAGGACCATAATTTGTTACTAATTTAATTAATAATTCATCTTCTTCTTATGTCCAAGGTCCTTTAACTAAATCAGGATTTAGCACTTTTTGCCATCTATGTAAACATTACACATCTGTTCTTTCTTCAAAATAAGATGCTATTTTTTTCCAATTTTTTGCTCCATGTTATGTTACTAATTCTTTAAGTTATTGATCTTCTTCTTCTGTCCACCATCTATTATAAATAGTTATTAAAATACCTCTTTTTTATAGTAAAGGGTGGATCTATATTATTACTTTTAAGCAAGGTTTCAACTTTTGTTTTTATTTCATTGATTTTGTTTCTATTTTTCTTTAGGATAAGATTCTCCAGTTGACTATAATCGAATATAGGTTTGATTATAGATGGATCTTTATCCTCATTTAATAGATGAAGCATGTTCGATTGTGATGTTAGTAATTTCCTGTCTGATGGAGATGGAGATGTATTTGAGAGTATGAATTCCATATCAATAGGATTTTATATGAGGAGATCCTTTAGAAAAGATATACACATATTCTTTTCCATTTAAGGTAGAGTGAAACCATTAAGTTCAAATTGAGTTATTAATTGGTGGGTACTTCTCATTAAACAAATAAAAAAATTAATTAAAAAGATTAGATAGTAGTGTTTTTTAACGAATTTGATTAAAATTTATTAATAAATATTCTTCATATAATATATATGAAGATTCATATCGAAGATTATTTAAATCCTCAAAAATTCTATTGTAGAGCATTTGATTTAATTTTAATACAATAATTTCTAATAAAATACTAATCATATTTAGTATTAAACTAATATATAAATTTTATCTGAATAACATTTATTTGTTTCCTAAACATCAATTAAAATCCATTCAGAAAAGTTATTTTAAAACGAAAGTATTTTTCTAAAAGGGATTTTAAAAGATACTTATTAATGTCCTCAAGGATTTAATAATAATTAAATGCAAAAATATGAATATCTTTAAATTTAGATTCAACTTTTATCAATAGGTTTAAAACATATAGTTAAACATCATATATAAATGGTCTATATATTTATAAAATTCATATTAATTTTATTTATGTTATAATTGTAAATATTAAAAATTCTCTATGATGTTAAAAGATGAGTAATTTATAAATGACTACAATAAATAAATAAATAAAACTTAATAAAAAATAGTATTTGATAATGATTATTGATATTGAAAGGGAATAAATAAGAGCAAAGGCGTTAATTTATATCCATTTACTTTATTTAATATTAAGTAATTATTACCCTTTTAAAAAAAGAAATGGTATATATATATATATTTAAAAATAAATTAAAATATTATATAAATTTTATGTTTTAGAGGTAGAAGGATTCTGGGAATTAACCAACAAATTATGTACCAGGTAGAGGTAGAGGTGCAGTTGGATTTATTACAAGAAGTGACATAGGACCTGCGAAAGTTGATATAGGAATTGAGTAGGATGACGATCAAAATGATTATAATGATGCTAAATATGATGAATGGAATGGTTATTCAATTCCATTATTTAATATGGGAGATTATGATGATGAAGATAGAGAAGCTGATCTTACATATAATAGTGTTGATAGAAAAATGGAGGAAAGAAGATTAAAGAGAATGCCAAATAATTTGCCAGAAAAACCATCAATTGTTAATTAATTTAGTGATTTAAAAAGAGAATTAGCTAAGGTGGGTATAGATGAATGGTTATCAATACCTGATATTGGAGATTATTCAATAAAGAAAAAGAAATAAGATAAGATTACACCTGTTCCTGATTCTGTTATAATGTCAGCTTAATTATCAGAAAAGAATTTATAAACAAAAGCACATGATTTAAATGAAATAGGTGAAGCAAGAGGAGCTTTATTATCATTGAAATTAGATAAAATAAGTGATAATGTTTCTGGATAGAGTGTAGTAGATAAAAGAGGTTATTTAACAAGTTTAGCTTCATTACCTCATCTTAGTGAAAATGAAATAGGAGATTTTAAAAAGGCTAGATTATTATTAAAAAGTGTAATATAAACAGATCCTAAAAATTCATTTGGATGGATAGCAGCAGCTAGAATTGAAGAACTTGATGGAAAACTACCTGCAGCTAGATCTATATTAGCATAGGGATTATAATAAGCAGAAGATTAAGAAGATATATGGATTGAGTTATCAAGATTGGAAACTCCAGAAAAAGCAAAATTAATACTTAATAAAGCTATTTAAACATTACCACATAGTGTTAAAATTTGGTTGAATGCTGTTAATAAAGAATAAGAGACTTAAGCAAAAATTAAATTATTAAAGAGAGCTTTAGAATTTATACCTAATAGTGTTGACATATGGAAAGAACTTGTGAGTCTATCAAGTGAATAAGAAGCATTAGTATTATTATATAAGGCTGTTGAATGTATCCCTAAAAATTTATCCCTTTGGTTGGCATTAGCAAAGTTAGAAACTTATGAGAATGCAAAAGCCATTTTGAATAGAGCAAGATAAAATTTACCTTAGGAACCTACTATTTGGATAAATGCAGCTAAATTAGAAGAGAGTGCTGGTAAGGATAAATAAACAATAGCAATTGTTCTTTCTAAAGGGATAAAAATTTTAAAGAAGAATTAAGTTAAGATTGTTAAAGAAGATTGGCTTTAAGAGGCTGAGATTGCAGAAAAATGTTCTAATATTAATACATGTTATGCAATAATAAAAGCAATTACTTTAGAAGAAGATAAACAAAGTGATAATTCTTGGAAATAAGATTTTACTTAATTTGAATAAAGAGGTTCATTACATACAGCCAGAGCAATTATTGCAGTTGAAGCAGAAAGATAAAATAATTTTGAAATATGGAAAGAATATATTGAATTTGAAAGAAGACATAAAGATGAAGATACTAAATATTTTGATTAAGCATTAGAATTGGCAGTTAGTAATTTACCTTAAATTGAATAATTTTGGATTGAATTAATTTTAAGAAAATAAGAATTATAATAAAATTATTTAGAAGTTTTTGAGAAATCTCCAAAATCAGAAAATATTTTATTAACTTTAAGTAAACTAGAAAAACAATAAGGAAATTATGAGAAAGCATATTAATATCTTTAATATATTTAAGATAATTTAATTCCTAGTGATAAAACTTGGGTAAAGATGTTTAAATTGATGCTTTTGATGAATAAATAGATTGAATAGGCTGAAAAAATATTAAAATAATATCCATAATCTGATAAGTTATGGATTTTATGTGGATAAGCAAAAATTAATTAAAAAGATTATTAAGGTGCAAGATAGATCTTTGAGGAAGCAATAAAAACTTTAAACAATTCATTGAATGTATGGTTGACTTATATAAAAATGGAATGTTAATAATAACTTTATACAAGAGCAAGACCTTTAATTGATAGGGCTAGAGAAAAGAATCCAAAAAGTTCTTAATTATGGGCTTAAGCAATTAGATTAGAAATTGATGCTAAGAATCATAAAGCAGCTTAATTTTTATTAAGTAAGGCATTGTAATGTTGTTAATTGGATGGTGAGTTATGGTCTCTTGCTATTGAATTAGAACCAAAAACAACAAGAAAGAAGAAATCTGCTGATGCAGTTACATTATGTGTTGATAATCCTTTCGTATATCTTTCTACTGCTAAAGTATTTTTGAATGAAGGTAAAATTGAGAAGGCTAAAAGATGGTTAGAAAAAGCATTAATTTTAGAACCAAGATTAGGAGATGCTTGGGCTTATCTTTATTTAATAGAAAAAGAAATCCTATAATAATGCATTTCAAGAAGACCAAAATATGGTAGACTTTGGAAATAAGCAAAAGAAACATTGAATTAGAAATATGATATTGAGAAAATATTGATAGAGGCAAGTAAATTAGCTTAAAAAGATATTGCAAAATTAGAGTGAAATATATTATAGATTTAATTAACTAAATATAAATTATAAGAATTATTTATATATATATATGTCATAACATTTACAATGATTAGTCTTTTAAAACTTAGTCTAATTATTCAGAAGTTAAATTAGGTATTTATTCCCAATTAGATGGTGCAGCTCCTGATGAACTTAATTTAACTTCAAATTAAAAAGGAATATTATTGAATAATTTGGGAGTAATATTAACCATAGAGTATTTGGATATTATAATTACTACAAAAATTGAGGATGCTCCTACTGCAAAAGTTCCAACAATTCCAGCTACAATTTTAGATTCTGAATCTGATTATGATTCAATTTCTATTTCTTTTTATTCACACTAAGATTCAGTAATTCTTAATGAATATCCAACCTGACATTCAGTACATATAGATTCTGAAGAACATTCTAAACAATTTTCAATTTAACAATCTTTAAATATATATAAACATTATACTTGTGCATTAATTAGTTATATTATCTAAATATTAACCTTTTTCACATGTAATAACAGGATCCTAACATTAAGAACATTATATTGTAGCATTTTCAATACATAGTGAACATGAAGTAGGACATTTTTAACATTCAAATTCAGTAGAACAATATCCAGTTTGACAAATAGTACATTTATCTTGTGGACAAGTTTTACAATTTGATGTAGAACATGAAACACAAGATTTATCAGTTTCATTTAATCTATAAGAAGCAAGACATGATTTACATTCTTATTTTGTACAAGTTTCACAATTTGATTAACAATTTACACATTTATTTTCATCTAAATAAGATCCTTTAGAACATTTTGAACATATTTATTAACTTGAACATTCTATACATGGTTCAATACATTATTCACATTATATTCCATTAAGAAAGTATCCTATTTTACATTCTTAACAAGAATCAATAGTGCATTAGTTACAATTTTCTTAACATTTAAAACATTTTGATTAATCAAGATAAAAAGATTTATTACATTCAAGACATCCATCTTCATTACAAGATAAACAATTAGCTTCACAATGGATACAATTTTAAGCTTTTGCATAATATGAATTATTGCATGATAGACATTCTGTACTTGTACAAATTAAACAATTAGAATTACAATTAGTACATTATTTTGTTGTTGAATCTAAATAATATTTGTCTTCACATTAATAACATTCTTAATCTGAACATGTTTTACATCCTTATTTACATAATATACAATTTTAATTATTAATTTAATATGGAACTACACATTTATTACATTTATTAGAAGTACAAGATAAACAATTATCTTAACATTTAACACAATCAGTATTAAGAGGATAGAATCCTTCATTACATTTATAACAAGTATTAGCATTACAAGATAAACAATTATCATTACATTTTTAACAAATAAGAAGTTATTAATCAAAATAATATCCAGTTTAACAAGTGATACATGTAGTAGTTGAATCACAAATATTACAATTATCCATACATTTTTCACATTAAGTACCATTTGCAAAATATTGAACCCTGCATTTTGTACATTCATTATAAGTACATTATAAACAATTTTCTGAACATTTTTCACAATTTTATCCATTTATATAATATCCATTAGCACATTATAAACATTCAGAACTTGAACATTATAAACAATTATTAGAACAATGAATACATGATTATCCTTATATATAATACATAGATGGACATTTTGTACATCCTGTATTATAACATTATTAACAAGGTGATTCACAATTCTTACAAGTTGAATCATTATCAAAATAAGTTTAACCATCTTATATACATTTTGAACATTAAATTTAAGAAGAACATAATTCACATTTAGAATTACATTTTATACATGTTGTATCATCTAAATAATATCCATTTATACAATTTAAACATTTATAAATATCTAAACAATTAATACAAGGTGGTTAACAATTCAAACATTATAAATCAGTTGATAAATAATTACCATTCTCACAAGATTAACATTAAGTAGCACTTTTACATGTTTTACATGGTTCTACACAAGAATTACATGTATTATCTATGATTTCTAAATATTAGTTGACTTCACAAGATGTACATTATGTTGAAGCAATATAACACTTTTTACAAGAAGTATCACATTTTTTACAACCTCCATTATCCCAATCATAATATTCATCATCTTAACAAGTACATGTAGTACATATAGAACAGGTTTCTATATCTGACATAATATAACCATAATCACATTTTAAACATTCTCCTGTAAGACTCTAACATAATCTACAATTTTCAGTTCTACATTTTGGACATTCTTTATTAATTGCTAAATAATATCCTCCTATACAAGATGTACATTCATCTTCTTTAGATTAACAAGTTTCACAAGGATGTTTACATTTATAACAATCTCTATTTTTAAAAAAATAGCCAATATTACATTATTCACAATATATATATGAACCCTCTTTATAACAAGCATCTTTGCATTTAAAAGGACATGGTTTACATTAATTTCCATCTAAATAAAAATTTGTTGTACAACCAGTACAAACTGTAGTTGATGTACATTATGAACATTCTTAGGGACATTTTAAACATGAATATTCACTTTAAAAATATTTTTTTTAGCAACTTGTACATTTAGTTTATGAATCACAAGTTTTGCATTCAATAGGACATTATATACAATCATTATTTTCATAATAAGAATCAGAGTAACAAGTAGAACATTTATCAAATTAATCAACACAAGTTTTACATTTTAAACTACATTTTTAACATTTCTATTCACTTTCAATAAATAAAAAATTAGACTCACATGATTAACAAAAATCAGCTTTATCTTTACATTATAAACAACCTGCTGTACAAACTTCACATTTATTTTATGGTGATAAATAAAATTTTAAATTACAAGATAAACAAAAAGTAGAAGTATTAATACAAGTTCTACAATTATCATCACATAAACTGCATTATTTTTATGAATTTAAAAATGCACCTTAATGACAGATACTGCATTCAAGATCATTAAAACTTTTAGAACAATGTTTAATTGGGCTCACTTATAAATAACATTAATTATTTAAGTCTATAAGGTAATTTTATTTACATTAAATACATATACCTGTATTAGTGCAATAAATACAATTATCATCAATACATTTAGTGCATTAAGAACTTTAATTAAGATAACATCCTTCTATACAAGTGAGACATTAATCATCTGACAAACAACTTCTACAATTAGATTTACAAGGTTCACATATTTAATTATTTAAATAATACCCATCAAAACATTATTAACAAATTAGAGATATTGGATCACACTTTTAACATTTATTACTATTACAAAATTTACATTAATTATTATTATCTAAATACATACTATTTTAACAAGATGTACATACATTTTCATTTGTACATTCATTACATGGATATTTACAATTCTTACATTAATTCCATTAATTTAAATAATCACCTTAATAACATGATTTACATTAATTTTATTAAGTACCATAACATTCTTAACAATATTAATTACAATCTAAACAAACTCCACTTACTTACACCTATATTTAATGAGTATCACAAGTAGAATTTTATTCAATACATAAATTGTTTTCATTTAATAAATATCCATCATTACATATATTACATTTAGTTGAACTTGAACATTCTTTACAATTTGGAATAGTACATTAAATACATTAATTTAAATTCAAATAATAGCCACTATTACAATCAATACATTAAGAATTTGTTTATTTACAATTTTAACATGGTGATTAACATGTTTCACATTCAAGATTTAAAGGATTTTAATAATAACCTGAAGAACATGTGTTACATTTAATTAAATCATTATTAAATGAACAATCTTATGCACATTTTGTTGGACAAGAATTGCATAATTTAGTATTTGAATCATAATAATATCCATTTTTGCAAGAATCACATGTTTAAGCATTTTAACATTATTAACATCCAGAGAGACATTAAAAGCAAAAGTTATTCTCAAAATAATATCCATTTTAACAACTTAAACAAAAATTATCTGAATAACAATTATTACATCCTATATTACAACTAATGCATTCATTATTGGAATTTAAATAATATTTATCAACACATGAAATACATTTATTAATAATTGTATCACATTATTAACATGGACTTTAACATTAAACACAAGTATTATTTACTAATAAATATCCAGGATTACATTAAAAACAATTATCTTTATTATCAAAACAAGATGCACAACCAATACCACATTATAAACAATTGTATTATGATAAAAAATACCCTTATACACATTTATTACATTAAGAACTATTAAGACATCTAGAACAAATTGATTAACATGGATTACAAAATCCTAATACATTGTAATATCCATCTATACATCCTAAACATTTCTATATTCCAGTACATGCAGTACAAATACTTGGACAATTTTGACATTATCCTTTATCATCACTATATTTTCCTTTGATACATGTTAAACATTTGTTTTCTTCTTAACAATCTTCACAACTATCTATCATTGTACATGATATGCATTATTGATTTAGAAGATAATGTTTTTCTACACATGTACTACATTCATTTTCACTTTTACAAAATTTGCATGGACTCTCACATGATTAACAAGTACTTGAATCATCCAAATAATAAGAGTCTAAACATTGATTACATAATGTTTTAGAAGTGCATTTAATACATGGACTTTCACATTTTAAACATTTAGAATTTTCTAAATAATATCCATCATCACATTAAATTATTGGCGATATACATGGTGGAGATTCTCCATCAGGACATTTTACACATACTCCATTTACACATGTAGCACAACTCTCCAAATTACAAGGTTAAAAACATTTTGCTTAATCATTTGTTTCAAAAATGCATTTACAATATCCTACATTATTTTCTCTATTCAAATCACAAATTTAACATTATTATTAATTTTAATAAAATTAACAATCTTAACAATATGATTAACATCCATTTACTAAATTCATTAATCTATCTATTAATATTTCTAATTCATAAGTGCTCATAAATCTATTCATTTTATATCCTATATAAAAAAAGTATATCATATTATATTTAGAATAATCTTCATATAATAATCTGCTTGTTATTTATAATTCTTCTGATAAAATTGTTTAAATAAACAATTAATCATTCTTTTTATATTAAAATAATCTTGTATTCCATTATACATTTAAAATTCTACTTGAATAATAAACATTGCTTTCCCATCCTATTTCATTTACACCATATCCCCATAATATACTTTATGGAGCTTTTGGTTATAAATATCCTACTGCAAATACATTTTAATCAAATTACTAATAGTATTGACCATAAGGTATATTTGATCTGTAAAAAAATTATTTTTAATTAGTCTCTAAATCAAAGTAATATTTTATAACAGAACTTTCTTAAGTATCTTATAAATATGATTTTTTTATCATATATATTAATTACTCTTATATTCCAGTATTATCAAAATATTCTACAACATTCTTCCAATATTTTTTATTAGTATCGATTTTATATTTAAAAGTATGCAATCGTTGATCCCATTCATCTGATTCACATGCATATTAATAAGGAACCATATGATACCCTAATATACATACACAATCATTGTTTTTTAATTCTCTAAATGTTTTAGTAATATCTCCACAACTCAAACAGTAATCCCTTTTAGAAATATCACATGTAATACAATTTATGGAGCATTCTTTAAATACAAAAATAACTTACATAAACATTCAGAAGATTATATAGTTTACATTTCTACAAACCCATCTTTGCATTCACATTTCCCATCTCTCAAAATTCTAGTTTTTTAATCACAACTCTAGCATATTGTTTAGTCGTTGGAATCACAAGATAAACAGCTATAATTACCTAAATTCTTTTTTATATTTTACAATTTTATTCTCTAGTTAACAGAAATAAGCATAACAATAGGAGAAATAATTTCATCTATTATCAAAAATAATTAATTAGTAAAAATTAATTCTACAACTGAATTTCAAATACAAAACCTAATTATTTTTTTAATAAATGATTTCTAAACAATTTTATATGATTTTACATAAAAATAATTTGTTTTTTTTAATTTCAAACACTACCTTTTTCATTTTTATTTAAATTTTTAAATCATTTAATAATTAACTTTATATAAATATTCTAATTCATATTACATGCCATAATTAAGAAAATANATTTACTAAATTCATTAATCTATCTATTAATATTTCTAATTCATAAGTGCTCATAAATCTATTCATTTTATATCCTATATAAAAAAAGTATATCATATTATATTTAGAATAATCTTCATATAATAATCTGCTTGTTATTTATAATTCTTCTGATAAAATTGTTTAAATAAACAATTAATCATTCTTTTTATATTAAAATAATCTTGTATTCCATTATACATTTAAAATTCTACTTGAATAATAAACATTGCTTTCCCATCCTATTTCATTTACACCATATCCCCATAATATACTTTATGGAGCTTTTGGTTATAAATATCCTACTGCAAATACATTTTAATCAAATTACTAATAGTATTGACCATAAGGTATATTTGATCTGTAAAAAAATTATTTTTAATTAGTCTCTAAATCAAAGTAATATTTTATAACAGAACTTTCTTAAGTATCTTATAAATATGATTTTTTTATCATATATATTAATTACTCTTATATTCCAGTATTATCAAAATATTCTACAACATTCTTCCAATATTTTTTATTAGTATCGATTTTATATTTAAAAGTATGCAATCGTTGATCCCATTCATCTGATTCACATGCATATTAATAAGGAACCATATGATACCCTAATATACATACACAATCATTGTTTTTTAATTCTCTAAATGTTTTAGTAATATCTCCACAACTCAAACAGTAATCCCTTTTAGAAATATCACATGTAATACAATTTATGGAGCATTCTTTAAATACAAAAATAACTTACATAAACATTCAGAAGATTATATAGTTTACATTTCTACAAACCCATCTTTGCATTCACATTTCCCATCTCTCAAAATTCTAGTTTTTTAATCACAACTCTAGCATATTGTTTAGTCGTTGGAATCACAAGATAAACAGCTATAATTACCTAAATTCTTTTTTATATTTTACAATTTTATTCTCTAGTTAACAGAAATAAGCATAACAATAGGAGAAATAATTTCATCTATTATCAAAAATAATTAATTAGTAAAAATTAATTCTACAACTGAATTTCAAATACAAAACCTAATTATTTTTTTAATAAATGATTTCTAAACAATTTTATATGATTTTACATAAAAATAATTTGTTTTTTTTAATTTCAAACACTACCTTTTTCATTTTTATTTAAATTTTTAAATCATTTAATAATTAACTTTATATAAATATTCTAATTCATATTACATGCCATAATTAAGAAAATATATTGCTCTTACATAAAATTTCACTTTAAATATATTTTAATAAATAGGGCATTGATATATATATATATATAATTATTACAATAGGCTTAAGGCATTTTTATTTTAAAAAATATTTATAATAGATATGAGTTTTAGCAAGGATAGATATTCTGAAATTTATTTCAATAATTAAACAAAGAAAAGAAAAAATATTGGTTAATTTATGCATAAGTCTGATTAAAAAATCAAACTTTTAATTAATATAATTCAATTTAAAGTTTATTTAATCCAATTTAATTACTTAAAATGAAATTTGTGTTATATATTGATGAAATTTATTTTCTGTAAAATTTTGGTTTAGAATTATTTACACATTCTAAGAAGTATTACTAAATTAAAACTTATAAAAAATAGCAACTCTTTTATAACCTTTTTTAGGATAAACAATTATGATTGATAATCTAGAAATTGATAACTGATTAATTAATAAAAATAATTTCTAAGTATTGTTAAAGTATTTATTCTACAGATATAATCTAATTAAAGATTATTTATAAAAATAATAATAAATATTAATCATGAATAAATGATAAGAATAAAAAAAGTAGAATGGAAGAATTATAAAAGATATAAGCTTTGAGTTTATTGTTATAAAATGTTCAATATGACTTTATAAATTTTTATTTCATTCTAATTTAACAATCATTGCTCCTGGTTCTATGAATTAACCTTCTTTATATCTTATTTCTTTAACTTCACCATCTATAGCAGCTTTAATTGTGTGTTCCATCTTCATAGCTTCCATGATTATTAAAATATCACCTATAATAACATTATATTCTATACCTCTTTTGACTTTTTATCCAACCTTTACATTAACTTTGGTTAAAGTACAAGGCATAGGAGCCACAATTTCTTTATTATTACCATGTCCATGTTATTCCTATTTTGCTTTTTTTACTTCATCTGAAGATACAGTAATTGTAATAGGATCTCCTTAGGCATCAAAAATCAATAAATTTTATCCATTTCTAATAGTTCGAATAAAGATTCCTTGATTAGTTTCAAAAATTAATAAATTGTTATGTTCATTACTTTTAGTTACTTTTTGTACTATAATCTTAGATCCTTCAATTTCTAATTCATGATTATTTCCATTTATGTTATGATTAATTTTAATTTCCTTTTAATGTGCATAAGAAGCACTTTAAATATTTAAAGTTAATTTATTATTAATTTAAGCTCCATTTCTAAAATTTAATAATGTTTTTGGTAACTGAACTGAATTTAGAAAATGTCTACCAACAATAGCTAGAGCAATATCAATAGGATTATAATTGTCTTTTAATTTTAATAAATTATCTTAATTTTTAGCAATGAAGGAAGTATCATATTATTGATTAACATATTCTGGATGTTAAAGAACAGTTTTTAAAAATGTAATGTTATTAGGTAAACCATGAATCTGAAATAATAATGTTAAATATTACTTAATAATTTTATAAAGCATTTAAAAGAGTTTAGATAGCCAATTATCTATTTTCTCCATAAACAACTAACTTAGCAATCATAGGATCATAGAAGATTGAAATAGTATCACCTTCTCTTACACCAGTTTCAATTCTCACAGATTGAGATGATTATGGTTCTTAATAATGATCAAGTTTGCCACTTCCTGGTAAAAAGTTATTATTTGGACTTTCTGAATAGATACGAGCTTCTATGGAATGACCTTTTCTTTTAATTTATTCTTGTGTTAATGGTAAATGTTCTCCACTTGCAACTCTAAGTTACCATTCAACTAAATCAACCCCTGTAATCATTTCTGTAATTGGATGTTCAACTTATAATCTAGTATTCATTTCCATAAAATAGAATTTACTAGAATCCAAATCAAATATAAATTCTACAGTTCCTGCATTTGAATATTTAACTGCTCTTGCTGCTTCTTTTGCTTTCTAATATATATATAATAGAATATACTTCTCCTATATCATATCTTATATTTTCATCTAATGCAGATGGTGCTTCTTCAATAACTTTTTAATGTCTTCTTTATATTGAACAATCTCTTTCAAATAAATGAACATAATTATTATGTTTATCACCAAAGATTTGTACTTCAATATGTCTAGGCTTTTCAATATATTTTTCAACTAACACTCTTTCATCTTTAAAGCTTTTTAATGCTTCTCTTTTTGCTCCTTCTAAGGCTTCTAAAAATTCAGATTTTTATCTGACAATCCTCATTCCTTTTCCTCCTCCACCCATAACAGCTTTAATTAAAACTGGAAACCCAATTTTCTCAGCCTCTTAAAGCAGACTAACTTATTAAGATTAAAAAAATTACAAATTAGGATCTTAATTTTCCCCATGATATCCTGGCACAACTGGCACTTAAGCATTTGTCATTATAATCTTAGATTCACTTTTAGATCCCATTTTTCTAATTGCATCAGCACCAGGACCAACAAATATCTTGAAAGTTAAAAGATATTTATTACAATATCATTTTTTTGACAATCTTCAGAAAATTATGCATTTTCTGAAAGAAATCCAAATCCTGGATGTATAGCTTTACTTTTTGTGCTTAATGCAACATCAATGATTTTATCACTTCTTAAATATGATTACACTAAACAATATATAACTCATAATTACAAGCTTAAGGAGGACCTATATTATAAGCTTCATCTGCCATTTCAACAAACAAAGTATTTTTATCAATATCACTATACACAGCTACAGTTTTTATGCCCATTTTCTTGGCTGTCCTCATTACTCTACATGCAATTTCACCTCTATTAGCAACAAGCAATTTATTTATATATGACATCTTAATTGAATATTAATTTTTGTTTATGATTATATTTAATAATACATAAATAATTTAATTTTTAAAATTTATCATATTATGCTTGACATAGGTTGTTTAAAAGTATTATTTCAAATTTTCAAATCATTAGATATAAGTGAATAAAAGAATGTCTTAAATATTAATAATAATATACTATTATTTAGAAATTATTAATATTATAAATAACAGCAAATATTCAAAATTAAGAAATTAATTAAATTAATTTTAAATAATGTATTAAAATTATTAATAAAATTAAATAAAATATATTGAATATTTATATTTTAATCAATGAAAAGCAAAGATCTCAAACTGAAATAAAACCAAATAAGAGGAGGAATGCTGTTTTTAAAGAGATCGCATGGATTGTTTCTTCTTCTTCTTCACCATCATCTGGAGTGTCTGTAGAATTATTATTATTGGCTTTAGCACATTTTTCACATTTACTTTTAGATGGATTCCATGAATATGTTCTACCACTTAATTCAAAACATAAACTTGAAGAAAGTGATGAAGCATCTCCTTATGAACATCCACCATTTCCATCAGGAACACAAACAGTGATAGTTTTTTTATCAAATGATTGAATAGAATTACATTTATTACCTTACTATTATGATGCACAAGTTTAAGGCCCACAAGCATTATTATTAAAAATACAAGGTGCTTTAGAGCAAGCAATTTAAT